TAATAATAATATTGTTACTGAATACTGACCGATAAACAATTCCTTTTTTATGGAGGAAGAAAAGCCCAACTGAGATTTCTGCTGCATAGAACCTGAAAGAAGAGACCATCACACTAGTCAGACCTCACATACATGATCTCTACTTCTGAATTAGTGATTAACATACATGGAAAATGCCAAAAAGAGCACTACTATTTAAGTGTGCTAGTTCTGAATGAAGGAAAAGTGGGATATCATCACCAGCCAGACTTCCTCCATTGTGTCTCCCACCTTGTGTTAGAAGCTGGAGGACAGTGGCAAAGACACTTCTTAATGGAGAATTACAAGGTCTTAACAGGGACAATGAACAAGGCTAATGTAATTCCTGTTAAACCACACCACTTAATTTTAGCATTATGATTGAGAGCCCTACTATTACAAGGGTCAGGAACAGGTATTCCCTACGGAGTAGTTTCAGACAGCCCACAAAGCAAGAAAGGTCCACACTATATGTAGACCAACCAGGAGTGAGGAGAAATACTTTGCCTTACTCAAGGCAGGTAACATCTCAACCAGATGCCTTTACATTTACCTTTGTAGGCTTTGCCCTACTCCAAATTTCTTTGGCTTGCTCACAGGTGAGGCAGTCACCCTGCCTACCAGTTGCAATGGTTAAGAAGTTTCAACAGGCAGGGTGAACAGGCCTCCGCAAACCATGAAACAGAGCCACCAGGCTAACAATAGTTCACAGAGGCATTTTGGGAGGAAGACCTCGGCTAGAAGTAGGCAATCTGATGTCCTTCAGATGTTTTACACCTCCATTTGCACAATCTCTGATCACGGGCTATGTTAGCTATGGCTTAAGGCAATTTTAGTCTAAACCATCTAGAAGATACTAAGTTGCCTACCCCTGGCCTATGGCTTTGACAATATACAGTGGTGCCCCGCATAGCGATGATAATCCGTGCAGCAAAAATCACTGCAAAGCGATTTTGTCGCTATGCGGTTTTAAAAAGCCCATAGGAATGCATCGAAACCCCTTCAATGCGTTCCTATGGGCTTAAAACTCAGCTTTAAGCGAAAATCCTGCATACGGCCGCCATTTTTGCTGCCCGGTAAGCGAGGAATCCGGGCGAAAACACAGCGGGCAGCCATTTTTTTAACCCGGGGGCCATTTTGGAACTGCTGACCAGCTGTTAGAAAATCATCGCTATGCGATGATCAGTAAACGAAACAGGATACCGATCATCACAAAGCAATTTTTTCCTATTTAAAACATCGCAATGTGATCGCTTTTGCGATCGCAAAATCTTCATCACTATGTGGATTCATCGTTAAACGAGGCGCCAAGCGAGGCACCACTTTAATTGGAAAAGAAGGAGGTGGAAAAAGCTTTTTCTTGGGTCAAAGAGAAATCATGTCTCAGGCGGTCCAAAGCTGCTGGACTTCAGTTATTCAGGGAAATAGGATGAGAGGCCCACTGGGGCTTTCCTTTTCTGTCCTCTTTTGCATTCCTCCTTCATCTCTCCTCAACTTCCACGGCTACCTGGCTGGTCACCAGAAAGCTAGGGTCTTTCTTCTTCCTGGATGCAAATTTTCAGTGTTGGCCAAAATAATAAACTGAGTATAAGAGCAACATAATGAGACAAACGTGCTGGCACAAGCAAGCCATCTGAACTGAATATTATGCATTGCCCTGTCAGCTTATATCTAAATGTTTGTGACCTCATAGAAGCTCAATTTATTTAAGAGGGCATACATAATATACAAGAACAAGAAAATCAGTTCCTTTCAAAAATGTTTGGTGGATTAATTACACCAAGTTAATTGGAAAACGATTCTCTATAAAAAATAATTCTTCTGGGTAATTTTACATCTGCACGAAAGGAAATGAGTATTACTTTGAAGCCATGTTAATTACATACACTAGCAAAAAAGGGAATAGGGATAAGGAATGGAACAGTGTAATCTTAGAACAAAACAAAATGAAAACTTTAATTTAAAATCCACAGAAAGAGATACTTACACTGCTTGGGGCTCCTTAAACTTTCCTACATGCTGGATATGATACATTAGGTCACCACCATTCACATACTCCATGACAAAGTACAGGCGATCCTAGCACACAATATTAAACCAACAAATACGTCAGGCAGCTGAGACTGCCACAGTAAAACAGTTAATATACTTGGGCAGTGGGGAGAAGAATCTTAAGCATGTCTATATATTCAGAAAGAACATACTGTAACAGTAAAAAAAAATCAGATTAACAATAAGAACCATGAATAGCTATGATAAAGGCAGTCTGAAAATTCTGTTCTGCAGAGCTCATATTTGCTTTTCAGTCACTCTTTTCATAAGAATGTACACACAGAGAGAGAATATAGAATTGTTTGAGATTCTTAACAGGACCCCTGCCATATTTGTAATTGTGGTTAGACATGGGGATGAATCTAAAAACAAATTGCAATATTCAACAAATATCACTGATTCACCAGATATTCATCTCTTCATATTTGTGAGGTCCAGAGAACCTGATGAATACGATGCAATGGATGTAACCCTTTTATATTCATCCCTTCGTCTTTCCCTCTCTGCTTATGCCCCTGTGGATCAGCTGTTCCTCGGAGGCATAGGCAGAGAGGGGACTTCCCTCTGAGCAGTTTGCTCAAGCCTGCCTGGAGGGAATCCTGCCCCACTGTTTACAAAGACAGAGGGAGGGGGATTGCTTTGGTCAGGATTCCTCTGTCTCTCTATGCCCCAGCATAGGGATTACCCAAGGGATTTCCCCCACCACCTCTGTCTTTGCAAAGGACAGGGGAGGACCACTTCAGTCAGGCTTGCCTGAAGGGAAGCCCCCCCCCCCTGTTGTTTGTTTGGAGGCGGCAGTGGAACAGGAGGCAGCAGGAAAAGGTAAGTAGCAGTAGGGAAGGAGGGCAGGCTGTGGGGGCTCACCTTTTTTTTAAAGATAGCCCCACAGGCTGTCTTAAAAAAAAAAGACCCGACAAACCGACAAACTGATCCATGGGGTTTGATGAACTCCTATTTTGGCGGTTCGTCCCCATCTCCAATTGTGACCAAATGATTGGTAAAGAGCAACTATTTCTTCCACTGCATTCATGTGCTAACAGGTGAGACAGGTGCTCCTGTCTACAGACAGATAAAATTGCAGGATAAATGCCCTCATCCCCACCCCCCGTGGAAAGGTCTCTGCAGCTTATTGAAATTATGGCAGCATGTGGGCCATCAGAACTGGAATACTTGAATTTACTGAGGAGGGGAAGCATAATCTTTTGCTATAAGTTGACACAGAGCTGTTATATTGCTTTCACAAGTAGAGAGCCCACTTACAACCTCCTTTCAGGGGCCGATTATTTATTTCAATAAAGAATTTTAAGAATTTTTAGAACAGACACAGAGTATGGGGAATTCAATAATTAGTGTGCATAGTTTTATACACTGACTTTTATTCCTTTGCCTCGGGAACAGTCATTAAAAATATTGCTCTGTCTAATACCATAGTTTTTAATAAACTTTGGGGGGGGGGCAGAGAAGGTACTTTTTATTGCTTCAAAGAGGAATGCCCTTGATTAATTAAACTATTTTATTTAATGTAGTCAAATCATAACTTTCAAAATTAATTTTATTTAATATTCAAGATCCTACTGAATTTGTCATTAAAATTTTGGTTTTAATTTCAGATGAGGATCCCATGTTTTTCTCCAAATGTTTTCTCCAAATGTTTATTTAGTGACATGGTGAAACTTCTAAAACTACAGACTGGATTTTATTGTTACTTCAACATTATTTCCTTTGTAAACAGACCTAATTCCAGATCCTGCATTTAAAGAATGTAAGGCCACCAGAAATGAAACTAAATCATAAAAAATCACATGCATAATTATTGTTTAAGGATAACTAACATTCCCTTGAGTTTACCCCTGAATTACTCAACAATATCCTATCAAGGAAAAGTAGGGAAGAATCCCATCTTGCAATTGTGCCAAGAAAACAGGACTTATACATGCGAATCCTGTCCTATTTGTACAGGAGAATGGAGCCTTGGCAGAATAATAACAGAATGAAGATGGAACTTGGAGCACAATCATCATCACCATCAAACTGCAGAACTGGAAGGGACCCTACGGAGTCCAGTCCCTGTCAGGGAGGCACAGTGGAGAACTGAACTCCCAACGTCTGGCTCCATGGCCAAATACCTAAATCACAGCTATCCAGCAGTTCATATGTCATCTGGAAATGATTCATCAAGAAACTAAACATGAAAAAGTTCATGGAAGTTTGATGTTTGATCACTTTCAGGTTAACTTTTGAAAAACTCTGTCTCAAATGAGATGAGGCCTATGCTAGTCTCTCTACTATCTTGTCTGTAATTGCCACTTCTTAGCTGCAAGGTAATCACTCAAGGAGGATATGATGTGTGAACTCATCATTGGCTTTCCTCATCATACATCATCTGCTTAATCTAAAGTCTAGAACATCTGCTGCAAAATTTCTAGGGGAATGAATTTTGAAATTTCTATGTAAAGCAAATCTTTGGCATAACCCTTTGTACTCTTGCATTACTATCTGGATTGAAACATTCCATATAAGAAAAGGTATTTATCCACTGAAAACTCCTTATTTCAAGCTGAATCTAACAACATTATTATGCCTCTCCAGTTTCAGCAAGATATTCACAAACGCTAGAAATCTTGTGATGTGAATATAGCAGACAATACTGTTGAAGACAACCTTGGCACGCCTGTAAAAAGCAGTAGCAGGTCAAAAGAGATTGAAGTCATGTATGAACACATACCACCGTTTGGAAGCAAGAATGGAGCTGTGTAAGGAAAGGAGGCTTGTCCTGTAAGGCAAGGACTCTTTTTTCAACCATGGTACACTCTACATCATCATCCTGAATCACCACATCTTTTTTCAATATTTTTATTGCATACAGTTCATCTGATCCTTTCCGTTCTGCTAGCATCACCTGCCACAAGCAAAGGAGAGAGTGAAAATCCTGATGACTATGAGATGCAGAAGAGTTCTTAATAGCATTGGTTATTTAACTTGTATGGCACACCCAGAAATCTGACTCTTCTGGCTTTTTAAAAACAATAAAACTGCAGAACTTCTTATATAAATATAACAAGCCTTCTTTAATTTAAAGATGCATTTCATCAATGTCACACAGTCTTCATAAGAAATCGTTACCCTCTTCCAGCAACAGATTGAGGGCTTCCATTCCCTAATTTGGTTTGAAATCACTCTGTAACACTACGACAATCAAAGGGACAAATATGACGAATTTCTCTGGAGACTTATATCAATCAGTTTGCCTTGTACCCTCCCTTATCAAGCATCTGAAATATTATATAGCTCCCTTTCCCCATACATTTTGCATTATTCCATTTCCCTTCTGTTGTTGGGTTTGTATGTGTATGTGGGCACATGAATAAAGGTAAAAGTAAAGGTTCCCCTTGGCAATTTGTCCAGTTCTGTCTGACTCTAGGCGGTAGTGCTCATCTCCGTTTCCAATCCATAGAGCTAGTGTTTTGTCCGCAGACAATCCTCTGTGGTCCCGTGGCCAGTGTGACTAGACACGGAACACCGTTTACCTTGCCACCGAGGTGGTACGTATTTATCTACTCTCATTTTTGCATTTTGCATGCTTTCGAACCGCTAGGTTGGCGGGAGCTGGGACAAGTGGTGGGGGCTCACTCCGTTGCGTGGATTCGATCTTATGACTGCAGGTCTTCTGAACTTGCAGCACAGAGGCCTCAGCGGTTTAACCCGCAGCGTCACCACACATCTTTGAAGAAGCACAATGAATAAAAGGGTAAGCTTTCAAAGCCTTTGGATGAGGTACATGTTTTCCTACCTTCCCAAAACTTCCTTTTCCAAGCACCATGAGAAAATTGAAATCTTCCAGCTTAACTCGATCAAGGTTATTGGATGGTAAGCTCCGGTCTTCAGTTGGAGTTATGACCTTGTTAGCAGAAGGTCCAAGCTTGGCTTTCTAAACAAACAAAGAAGATATCTATTAAGACCTGTACCTTGTGTTCAGAGCTCCTGAGACATTATGCAGAGACTGCTCTGCACACAGTAGACTGAAAGACTTATGCTTGCAGAAAAGACTGCATAGCAAATATCGCATTAGCACCAATGTGAAAGACCCATCCCAACCATACTGGACACATTGCTGTAACTGACATGAAGTCGTATATCTGTGTAGGAAGGTAGACTGAGAGGAGGAACATCTCTTGTCTGGTTATCAGAACAGAGCAAAACAAAATGAAGCCCAACAAGGTAAATCATTGCATTCTTGCCAAAATATCCCAAACTGATAAATATTCTGACTTTTCATTTGATGTTCTTAATGCTCTCTTTCTCTCTCTTTTTCTTTCAAGAATGTTTCCCCCCCCCCTTTTGGTTAAAAGGAAACAGAAAACATTCATAGGTGTTCTGAATTAAAATGCACTCTTTACTGCAACATTTTGACCATTTGCGACATGCTTTGTAGCAGAGTACACGTATCCCAGTGCCTGTTTTCATAGGCTCCAAGCACCCCAGACCTCCACAATACCCCAAAATGCTCAAAAAGTCTCATTCAGCTCTGTTGGGGGAAAGGGGGAGAGCAACTATGCTCTGTTTTGAGGAGCCCTCCCTGCACCTTTAGGGTCTCCTATGCTTTTGGCCACTAGAGGGGACAGTTTTAAGCCCTGGTCACATGAGGGAAATGTTCTCTAGTTATCCCCAGTTAGTTTATTGCTTTTTTCCTGGTCACAGGATGCACAGTCAAGATCGAGACATTTCCCCGGCCAGCAGCATGTCTGCAGAACACCTCCCCACCACCAGGAAAGCTGTGTTATTTTGTACCTTTCCTTGCTGGAATGGCCTGTATGCACTGCTTCTTTTCAGAACCAAAGCCAGGAAGGTGGCTGCCATTACTGTGGCATGCATACTAATTTTTCTAACGTTTCATGCCTGATACATCAATACATTGGTAAAAGTATGTCACGGGGGCCCCCATCCTTACATTACTGGCGATTAATATTTTTTTTAAAAAAATTCTGTGGGAAAGTTGAACTGTTGGTATGACAATGTCATGAGGGAGGGGGAGTCGCCAGTACTCCTATACAGATATCCCAAGTCCATTGTGTGCAATGCATTTCTGCAGGAGCAGCCAGTGTAATAGAAGGACACTTTCCTAAACAGAAACTCCTTCCCGATCAATGTTCTCTCCAATTTTCAACCCCGCTGGGTGGGGCTCCATCCCCTCATGCGCAAGTCTGCCCGTGGGGTTCTGTTGTGACCAGAATTAAAGGGTCTCAAAACAATAGCTGTAGGTGCATAAGGGAGGAGCAAAGCTGTGGGGGAGGGGCAGAGTCATGCACACTCGTGCAGTCACGCACCTTAGAAGAAACCTTGTTCCTGTTATATTGATATCAATATATCAATAAATACAGTATATATATATCTTTAAAAATAATATTTATTGATATATTGATATCAATATAACAAGAACAAGGTTTCTTCTAAGGCGTGTGACTGCACGAGTATATATATATATAAATAAATTTCTCCTTGAAGCAAAGGAGAAAATAAACAAGTACCATGGTGTAGCTGGCCAGAATGATTCAAATAAAGATATAAATTGGTACTGCTTAAAGTTCTTGTGAAGTTCGTCCCAGGATATAAACCATGTGACCATGATTCAGTCCAACAGAGGTATGGAAAGAATCAGAACTAGAAAACATTTCCCTCGTGTGACCAGAACCTTAGTTAAAAATTCTTTTTAGTTAAATTAATGTAAAGACCAAATTTAAAAAGAAAAAGCAGAAATAAAGAATATAAATGCCAATCAGCTTCTTCAGACATCCTTTCCAGCACAGTATAGCCTTTGGGCTGATGGCAAATAACCCTTGGCCTCAGTGAGATAGTCGTCCCTGCTTTCACTCCATACAGAACAGAATGGTGTGTTATATTAATCAGTGTCTCCAGAGTAGCTTTCTAGCTATCACAATCAAATCTGATTTTCAAGCAAATCTTAATCTTGGCAGAAAAAAAATATTGTTGCACTCAAAGCACTTCTAAATTTGTTTTCTGCTTGGCAGAGTTGTTCTCCGGGCAAGCCAATTTAAAAACAACAAAAATGAGCAATGCTTTATATAAATTGCTTTTCAAACCACAAAATGTTAATACAGGGAGCAATGAAAGACTCACCTCAAAGAAAATGTCTCCCTATAATACAGTTGCCTTGCTTTTATTAAACATCAGCTCAATCATCAGCTATCATCAGGTGGTAAAACAGTTTATCAGTGACAACATTTTCACTCTTCCTTCCTTCTTTGGTTTATCAGCCAAGGCTTTGGAAGACCGGGATTTCAAAATAATGGCAGTTTTGTGTCAGTCTGACTAGTAAAGCCATAGTATCCCTTGATAGACAATAAAACCTACCCCCAAGGAATAGTGTTTTGTTTTTTTTTTACAGGCAGGCGTACACAGAGACATTTTGTAGCATTTGCTACATTTTATATCCCATCATCCCTCTAAAGGAGGCTTATCTTCCTCCCTGTTTTGACCGTCACAGTAGCCATGCAAGGGAGAGGCCAGGTTTAGTTTCATGGCGCCACAGAGAGGTGAATCCAAGTCCTACTCTACACATTTGAGTGCTACACCTGCACTAGCTCTCACACCAGAAAAAAAAAACATAATCTGTCTCTCAGAGAAATGTCCACTGATTCCTGTATTATAATGATACATGAACACAGAGTTCTCCAGACCACTGCTCGAGGGAAAAGATAGATAGATGCATGTCTTTTATACCAGCATTATGTTAAGAACCCCCATTCCTATTCCCTAGTAAGCACTTTCAGGATGCATTGACTGAAAATAATATATCCTTCCCAAGTAGTGAGCCCTATGATGTCAATCACTGATTTTAAAAAGAGACAAATCAGAGGAAACTTTACGTGACTTTGCCAGAATAGAAAGCTTCTAGATTACAAATGCCAGACTCCTTACTTTAGCCCAGTCAGTTGCAGTTAGGACAGGCCCATTTGAATCAAAAGAACGTATGGAGGAGTTGAATCAAATCCCCAGTGATTCAGTGGGTCTATTATAGTGTGATTTACTATGCTGAACAATAGGATTTTGGCCACTCTTTTGTTACACAGTCCAGTGGGTACAGAACAGCATTTAAAATACTGGGAGTTTGTACTGTAATAGGTATTTAATCATACAGCTACATGCCATCAATTCCATCTCCTAAGGTTTTCTACAGTAAGTATAATATACTCAAAAGCTGTTTACCAATCCCTCCTTCTGGTGGTACTCTGGTACTGTGTAACTTGCCAAAGGTGGCAAGGCACCTAGCCCTATCAAGCTATCCATGCTCTGAGTAATCTCCCTACCACTGGTCTCCTGGGAGTTACAGTATAAATTGAAACTCCCAGCCCCTGGCTCTTCAGACAGGTGCTCCAAACCTCTCTGCTATATCAGCTCAGCGGGTATTTACAAATCCTCATAGTGGGAAATACTTTGTAATTGAGAGTAGGAATAGGTTATTGGTCCCTACAAGACTCAAAATCACAAAATAGTGAAGAAAGGTTGAAGGCTATGAAATACTCTGATGGATTAAAGCCATAGACAGAGAGATTTTAAGACCTTTTTAATTGCACAGGGCCATTAGAGACTAGTAAGTTTTGCAAGGGTGTAACAAAAAGTCTTAGCAACTGTTTCCTCCAAAGTGCAAACTTTTATTAATAGGCTTACCCTCATACCTGGCATTTGCTTTCATGGACAGTTTTCAAGTTACTATAATACTGTTTGCTATTTTTGCTTCAACAGACTGCCATAGGTATCTCATTAGAAATGTTGTTAATTGCATGGTGCCCAGGTCTAGCAATAGACTGATAGTAGCAATATACTGTTACTGTGAGAATTTAGTGAGTGATCCTTGGAAGATCTTTTTGATTTTGTGAACACATAAAACTATTTAGGAATGAAAGATCGGAATTGAAAATAATTCATAGTTGATATTTTGCTGTAGCATAACAATAAGAACAACCAACAGAAGTTTGTGTTGCTCACAACTGTATTTTGAACATGCTACTGTCAAAGGACCCATGGCTTTCACACCCCCACCCCTAAATAGGACACAGAAGTTATTTGCTGCTCATGCTCCCCCCCTCCATATTAAAAGTGATCTCATAGCTATACCATGCAAAGATTTGAGATGCTAGGACAGCTGTGATGTACAGTGTATCTCTGCTTGCTGCACACCAGGTGCTGTTTCAAAGTGACACAGTGTACCTGCTGCCCCTGTGGTAGTGACCTCCACTAAACCTTTTCATGGGTACAGTTTGGGGAAATGTGTACATCACTATGGAAGACCTACAGAAGACCTAGACACCTCTAATTTCCACCTTGGAGATACTGGCCATCATTCTTTAAAGTATTGGCTTTCACCTGAGGCATATAAAATCAACTTTGTGATATTGTGAAATAATATTTTAGAATCACAAAAAGGGGCAAAATGCTCTAAAATGTCATGGTCTATTAAATTACGGACATATTGGAGGCAAACTGTAGAATGCAAAATATTACCAAAAGACCAAAATATAATTATGTGCTTTTATTATTTAGAATGCAGAACACTATAATCAGTATACTTTAGCATATAGTATATATTATTTCCATCTCGCAAGGTTATTTATAGCTTTAATTAGGTTACTGTTTAGAGTAGAAAGCTAATTTCTGGCAACAATTTTAAATTACAACCACAAAGCTCCATGTAATTCTTCGGTAATTACATTATGCTTATTTGTAGTGTTTCTTCTTCTGGTGTGGGTTTCATATACACTTATCTCTTACAATGCTGTAATGACTACAAATAATAACCTCATTACTTTGCTTTCACAGGCATTTAAAGTTTTGAATCCTGAAAAACACAGGTCCAGCCACATTCACTTAACATGAAAGGATGGTAGATAGTTAATAAAAGCAGAGAGGTTC